GTTTTTCTCTAAATCTATAGATTTTCACTCATGCGTTTTACAACTAGTCTGCAATGCATAAGGATAGTACTTTTTACTAATAAATTTTAAGTTTAGTATCATAAACAGATATATTTTCTAGTTTATCATGCAAATAAATGCATTATCAAGGATAAAACAATATAATTGAACCCATTGAATGTGTTAAACGTTCAATAAATGTGCTGCTTTTAGTGTTTTAGTTTAACTTCCGTCAAAGATTTCAAATGAATTAGTTAGTGTTATTCTTAAGCGTCTTACTTGGACATGTAGGTTTGGCGCAGATTAGAAACCGGATGAAGAAACACAAATATTGCCGAATATAAAACTAGTAATGCGGAACTTGAGTGGAGATAACACTCCAACACATAGTATCTACCGTCTAAATGCATGAAAAACACCCAAAGTGCTGGAAAGATGTGTGGAAGATTTAAACTGTCACAGACAACCTTTTTTATTTGATTAATCACATTTTTTTCGGTTTAAATGAGGGCAGTATCTGTATTCGTGCTATTATAGTCCACTAGTTTGAAGTCAGAACATAGTTTCGATGGGATACAAAATTCCGTCGAGTGTTGAAATGATAGTTGTGGTATTATGTATTATATAACTATGAGCTGTTAAGTTCAATTTTTGGAATTCGTTTTCAACATTTTATCTGCCGAGAAACTTTTAACTGACTTACATTTCAATGTCGTTTGACGAAGGTGGAATCAACGCTTTGAAAAAAATACAGTAAGGATTGCTATTTAAAGATGTTCAATGATATCACTTATAATATTCTATACTTTCAACATATTGAGACCACTATTGCTCCTATGAAATTTTTCTATTCTATTATATAATAATTGTGAATTTCATCGTCTTTCATTTTTCGAAAAGGAAACTATGAAGAAGGTAGTCCAATAAATGTTTTAGCTTGGTTTCGAATTCTGAACAAATTAACTTCTTAACATGTGATGATTCACCTCTTGGGTAAATGGTTGGGCAGTTCTCCGTTTTAGAATCGAGTTTTGCAGTATTGAGCTAATCAATAAATTGATAGGCGGATATTGCATTGGTATGACCTTAGAGCACGAAGAATAACTGATGGATTCAAAATTAAACAGAAATCGAGTAGTTCTGTTTAGAATATAGTGCAAAATCAATGCTAGAATTCAAAATGCCAGTTTTGTCCTATTCAGGACAGAATCCTATTCAGTAGAATATACCTGCATCCAACTATGTGATGCATAAATGCCGAAAAACTGGTTGATTGTAACATTAAAAAACCTCAATAACGGGAAATAAAAAAACTCTCAAATGTGGATAAAAAACGTTTTACTTGTTGTGATATCCGTTTGCATATCAGAAAAACTTGCTTACTTGATTACTTACGCCTGTCAGCTCCCATGGAGCATTGACCACCGACCGGGATTTTTGAACCTACTCTGTCGTAGGACGTCCTATCTAGTTCCGCCCAATTTTCGTCTGCTCTTCCTGAGCCTGTCTTCATTTCTCGACGAAATGTGTTTTTTGGTCTTTCTCTTTTCTGGTGGTTTTGGGGTGTCCAAGTCAGGGCTTGCCGTGTTACACAATTGGATGCTTTCTTCAATTTGTGTCTTATCAACCAATTCCTGCGCTCCTTCTTGATTTCTCTCTCCGCTTCGATCTAGTTTTTTTCTCTTTCATCGCAGATTGTTGTTGATGGTGTCAGGTCAATGGACTTACAGTACCTGGCGTGGGAAACTGTTAAAATACACTTGTTTCTTCCAAGCCATCAGCATTAGGGCTTGACCAAATACTTTCCACTCGAATATGATTTTATTTTTTTA